AAAATCTAGGTATTATAGAGTGACAGCATGAATGAAACTTATTTATATGTTCTTATTTTTTTTAAATAAATTGATGAAGAATATCCAGATAACAGTATTCTCTTTTCTATTCTTACTTCAACCAAATTTACAGATGTTAATATTTGAGTGCAGCGCGCTCTGGATTTGAGCGTGAGGCAAATATCTTTTCTGCCTTTTGCTATTATATATTGACCGGACTCTGCCATGCACCCCGTGTAACGATGTTTCAGTCCAACTAAGGCTGCAGCCTGTTTCGTAGCCGAGCGCAAGGAAAACATAAATTACAGAACATAAACAAGCATAAACTAACTGGGAACTTTAAAACTTACGGTGCAATCTTGTTAACCTCATAAGCCTTGTCTATAGTTGTAGTTAAACTGGCCACATTGACTGAGAGAAGCAGCTTCGTCTTCTTGTTTTCTGTGGCATCATCCTGGAACGCCTTGGCCAGCTCCTGTAGACAGAAACAAAGAGCCATGGTTTATCAGTGTTTGGTACAACAAGCTAATATTTACAACTTATTATTGTTTAGTTATTCAATAAATCTGATTAGTCGTGATTAATTATAAATTTGTACTGCAATTTCCAAATTATTTATCTAAATATTAAGTTGAAAAATTTCAAATAAACGGTGGGATTATTTTGTTGTTTGACACTGAAATGAATTAACCAAAAATTAATTAGATTATCTAAGGTCCCATTTAAACTACCAATACCTCTTTTTATGCAAATAACTTTTTCCAAACATCTAATGTAATAATATTGAATAAATAGCATGTCAATGCATTGCAGGGCTTGCTAACCGTAACCAGCAGAGTGAACCTCTCCCTGTCCTCCGGTGGGCTGCCGTTGTGTCCAGGGTATTCCCAGGCGATGTTTAGCCCATCAAAGTTATGGGTTCGCAGGAAGCTGATCGCTGACTTAATGAAAGCTTCACGACTATCAGGTTTGCCAACCAAGGAAATAAAGCTGAAAGGAAAACATTGTGTTTTAGAGATTCATTACATATAAAACTTGAATTAAATAAACAGTGAAAGTGTTGTTAAAGTAGAACTTACGGGCTAATCCCATTTACAGTGCCTCCCACAGACAGCAGAGTCTTCAGCGCAGGGTTGCTGAGTGAAAAAAATAAGCATGTAATAGAATGAACAATAAATTAAGAAAATATGAAATTTACAATCCCTCTCATATCAA